GAGAATTTTCAGTGGTTACTTCCATAAAATTATTTTGAGGAGAGTAGATCCTCTTTCACTGTCCTACTTACTTTGGAAAATGTCATTTTACCATCTGCAATCAGCAGTGTCTGTAAGCATACCCATTTTTCTGGGGCACTTAGAGAAATGCTCTTGGAATAGGTCTGCAGGGTTTCAGGGTAAAGGTTTCACAATATAGGCTACATAGTTTCTTAAGTTTGAAAGCTGTATATGGTTTGTGTAGTAAATTCTGCTTTGTAACCTCTGGCCCCATGTTGATAAACTTCAGGTTTCACTGCCTGGGTCTGAGAAGTTCCTGAAGCTGAGACAAGGAACTTACCCCACCTTAAACATGGAATGTTTGGAGCCTTGCTGACTCTCATCGTGGAAAAAGAATTTTCAGGACTAGTCAGTGAGGTGCAGGGTTTTATTAAGCAGAAATTCAAAAGTGCACATTCAAAGAAATAGTGTGTGGGCACAAAAGAGAGAGGGGCTCCGTGGAGCAGGGCATATTTATGAGATCTTAGGGTATATTCAAGAGGAGTGATTTAGGATGAGTATTTCTGCCAGTTACTCACCTGGAAGGATGCGAGCCGTGTACATGTGTTTGAGGTTGAGACATACTGCCTTCTAATAATGTTTTTTTGAGGCTGGAGGAAGCAACATTTACAGGTTTGTTTAAAAAAAAAAAAAAAAAAGGACAGGTCTAGAGCCCAATTTCAGGCTTTTTGAGACCTTTAGGAATTTTTTGAATGAGTTTCCTGAAAGAGAAAAAAGAGCTTGAGTAATTTTTGTGTCCTAAAGCTACAGGGTTTGTTTTGTTTTTTGGTTTGGTTTGGATTTTTTTTGGGGGGGCGGGGGGTGGTTGCCTTGTCTCTTTTTTTTGTCTGTTTTTTATTTCTTGTTTCCGATCTTCACAAAGATCCACTTACTTTTCAACAAAATGACATGGCTCAGTTTATTAAGAAATTAGTTGACTATTCCCAGGATCCTGGTAATATTAAAACATTATTCTATAACTGATGTCAAAAAATAAAAAAAATTTTAAAAACCCAAAACATTATTCTAGGGGCTGGAGAGATTGCTCAGAGACATGAGCACCTACCTGGCAAGCACAACGACCGGCTGACCAAGTTCCATCCCTGGCCCCACGTGCTGTGCGGTCTCAGCCCTGAAGCGGGTGCGTTGGTGCACATCTGTAATCCTAGCACTTGAGAGGTTGAGCCAGGAAGATCTCTGTGTGTTCGAGACCAGCCTGGGGGGCTACAGAAGTGAGCACAAGGCCAGCCAGAACTACATAGTGAGACCTTGTCTTAAAAACAACCCCCCACACATTCTTTAGGCAATATTAATCAACTAATATTTATATTATTCTGCCTTCACCATTAGAGAAAAGATACTAGCAAAATGAATTTTAGAATACTTTTTAATAAGCTTTAAACAAGTTTTAGAGGTTTTCTAAAGCTTACTACTCCTAAATAAGGAATGAACATAGAGACATCATGAGCACTTTCATGGTTACAAGGCCTACACAGGCCTATTTTCAGTGTACACAGACATGCAGGCCAGAGCATCCGACCAGCAAGGATCTCATCCTACAGTAATCCTGAACCGCTCTGCCCCCTCTTGCCTACGTGGCAGACATGCAGAGTGGTCTAGCACTGAAAAACAGATGCCAGGTGGTCAAACGAAGTCAGAGAACATTCTGTGAGGCAGGCCTTTTCTCAGCTGGCCCTTCTACCTTCTTCCAGAACGTGTTCTGTGGTGACCGAATGGGAAATTTAAACAATTCAGCCCAGCTACCAACTCCCTCAGTAAATGTGTTAGGTAAATATAATACTTAGGAGGGGCCAAGGAGATGGCTCAGTGGAATAAACGCTTCCCTGGCAAGCGCAAGGGCCTGAGTTCAATCCCCGGTTCCGCAAAAAATAAATAAATAAATAAATAAATAAATAAATAAAATACTTAGGTCATCTAGAAGAGAAGAAAAATAATGTCCTAAGATGTGAACTCTTCTAGAAGCTTCCTTTCAAAAAGAATCATTTGCAAAGAAGGAGAGATAATTGTTTTGTTCTGATTTTACCCCCAGCTTAGGCCTGAAGCTTGTATGTGTGGGAGGAAAGCACTCTCTGTCTGTGGCATTCCATATGGGAAGTCTAGGAAAAGCGAATCATGAAATCTGGGAAATTGCAGTGAATTTCTTTATAGAATGTAAAAAATAGAAATTCATATTTGAAACCCTAAAAGAGAAAGTGATGTGTGCGGAAAATTGTAAAGTCCATGGCATTTGTGCCTCCTGAAGTCCCCTGAGCCTGTTTGTTCTCTTAGTGTGTGATCTTTGCTGATTCCTGATTCACTGTTTCCTCTCCCAGAGGAAGAAGACACTTAAGAAAAGTTGTCTAATTTTGACAACTGAAGATTTGTGCAATTTTTAAAACAACCCCCACTTCCAAGGGTAGGTTCCCATTCCAAGTATAGTTGATTTATTTTTCTTAACAAAGCATTGGGCCAAGCTTTCCAAAGGAAACAAATTTGTAATCATCTTGAAATATGAGTAAATACTTACAGTATTGTCTGCAAGTTCTGGGAATAAAAACTTGTATTGTTAGGTGTGACATGGAGAGCAGGAAAGCACTAGGAGAGTTGCTTTGGATCAGCTCTGGGCTTGAGTTCCGTCACCCCTAGTTACTGGCTGTGAGGCAGTTAACTTCTCTACACTACATGTCCTCACCTTTAAGAAGACAGTATTTTTTCACTGTATTGGGTGACTATGAGGATTGTGTGCTTGCACTATATGAATTTTTACTAGCATCTTCAAAGTTCAACCCTGGTGGGCTGAGCTGGCCACACACACACACACACACACACACACATTAAAAAAAAAAAAAGTTCGGGGCCTGGCCTTAGCTCAGTTGTTTAAGTGGCTGCTTCCACAAAGCTGTCAGCCTCAGGTTGCTGTAGTTCGATCCCCACAACTCTCCAGCCAGCCAAACCACCCCTGAGGGCATTCTGAGCCAAAAAAAAAAAAAAAGTTCAATGGTATTTACTAGAATACAGGGCAAGAAAGCTGTAAGTCTAACAAAAATAGAGAAAGAACAACGATGATTCCACTGTTGGATTTCTCTTCAAAATTAAGATGACCACATCACATCTTTATTTGGAAGAAGCAGAGGGGAGACACTGTGAATGCAGTTATTTTATGTTTTTCTGTCAGCAGAAAGACAAGCCAGTTATTCCTCAAAATAAAAATTGTGACTTAGAAAATTTTGGCATTTTATACAGTCCTGGATCGTTATTTTTTAAAATTGCTGACCATGTGATCTTCTCACTTTCAAATTTGTTATTGTAGAGAGAGGTAAAGGAGAATGTGTAGAGCTTGTTTTACAACTAACATGGCAATAAGACAGGATGGAAAAGAAGTGCTACACAGTGGATCTTAGGTAACTGAATAGTTTGATTTCCAACCTGTAGTCAGGGCTGCTAGCTTTATGTGCATAGTTACTATGCAGATCATGTGGGGGATTTTACATATCACCTTTAATTTTGTTTTATTTATTTATTTATTTATTTATTTATTTTGGCAGAACTGGGGATTGAACTCAGGTCCTTGCGCTTGCCAGGGAAGCGCTTTTTCCACTGAGCCATCTCCCCGGCCCCCAAACTACCTTTATTTTTAATGGCAGAAGTTATGAATATTTCTGTTGATGCCACATAAGAAGCTTTAAAAATCACATTATTTTCACTAATATTCTTCATGTGTATGAAGATCATGTTTAATTTATTCTGATGAAGCAATTATAATACTCAAAAATTGACTTGAAATTACAGTACAACCTAAGAGTGACTCTACCAATTTATGAGGTATCATACTGTCAGTGGAATCAGCACACAGATGCTATAAATTACTGGATGGGAAGTGACAGAAAGGTACACCATTGGCTCTTCAGAACCTTAGAGTCAAAATTCTAAGATTTTATTTTCCTTGATATTTTACCTCAATGCTATATAACTGTCTCAGTTACTCTTCTCACATTGCTGGGACAAATACCACCACTCAAAATTAGGGAAGGAAAGGTTTATTTAGCTCACAGTTACTAGAGGTTTCAGTCCATAGTCAGCTGACTCCAAGGTGAAGTGGGAGAGAGCAAGTTTTCATGATGGTGGCAAAGAGCAAGAGCAAAAGGGAGGACTAACAGCAACAATGACCACAAAAAGGAAGTCTGCCTTAGGTTGCATTCAGGCTATATGCCCCACACTGGGTGTAGTACTCACACCCATAATCCCAGCAGTACTAAAACCCATAATCCCACCCTTGATCATGAATTAATCTCAAACTCTAGAAGTCCCCACCCCATAACTACATGAGGCTTTGGGTAGGACAACTAGACACAAACCATAACACTAACTGATAGAAGAGTTAAATAATGTATTATTAAACCAGAAATTCTGGTTTCCATCAGCAGGCAGCCAGATATACCTCACTGAACCTCTGCCCTGTGACCCTCTTAGCTCCTTATATGAAGCTGGGCAGAAATCTAAGCCTATGCCTAGCAGGAGAATCTGAGCTATTAATACCTAATCAGCAGGGTTGTGGTGAGAAGGTGCCATGACAGGTCTCCATGTTTTATGTGTGCTCATTCTTAATTTTTCAGAGGAAGCCCTTTCTTGACTACTTCCACTTCCCAGGACTGATGTCTAGAGACTTCCTTTGACTTTCCCAGATGATGTTCTTCCTTCTTTCAGAAGTAGAGAAGGTAGTCTGGTACTATGAGCTTTCCTTTCTCTGTCCAGTGGCTTTATCTAGCACATACTCTGCTTCATCAAACTGGTCACATCAGCCAGCCAGTGTTTTAGTATCAAATGTAGGCCTGTATTTATTTGAAAAATAAATCACGTAAGTCCTTTCTCTAAGTCAGTCTTTAAAAGAGAAGGCTGTATTTCCAATTTTATTTCTTGAAGTTTCCGATGTGTCTTCAATACATGTTCCCTTTGTTTTCCAGATAGTAGTTCCTCAGGGAGGAACAGATATGAGGAAAATTTTACTTTTGAGTCCAAGAGCCATCGAGGAAAGGGGGAACACCCAGCTCCTGAAGCAGGTAAGTATATGCTTTGAAAGTGCATTGCAGAGTACAAATATCTTCATGTGCTATGATTGAAGATATCAAATGAAGCCATGAGAGTTCAGGGAGGTGCTGCAGTCGGGCCAGAAGAACTGTCTTCTTGTCTTTTTTTTTTTTTTTTTTTTGCGGAACCAGGGATTGAACTCAGGCCCTTGTGCTTGCCAGGCAAGTGCTTATTTTACTGAGCCATCTCCCCAGCCCCTCTTCTCATCTTCTGTGTCACGGTGCTTTATGCTGCTCCTGACCTGAGAGCTCTTGGATCTGTTTGCTTTCATACACCATGCCAGGTATAAAATTCTGTATGAAGTCGTACTTGTACACAGGGTTAAGGACTGACACAGTTGCAATCCTGGCTCCACCACCAAACTCAGTGGCCTTGGACAGGTCTTTATCCCTATGGGTCCTTGTCTTGGTGACTTTTCTCTCCTTGTTGAGATGAAATACCTGACAACCAAAGTTAAGGAAGGAAAGGTTTATTTAGCTTGCAGTTTGTGGTAGCTTCTGTCCATACTCAGCTGGCTCCAAGCCAGAGTGGCACATGGCAGAGGGCAACAGTTCATAGTAGCAAAGCAACTGGAGAAGCAGTTGGACAGAGCAAACCTTGTTCCCTCCCTTATATTGTATGTAGGCTGCCCGCCCCCAGGTGGGTGCAGCACTCACACCCATAACCCCAGCATTGGACCACAAATCCATCCTAAACTCTAGAAGCCCACCCCATGACTGCATGAGGCTTTGGGGGGACATCCAGAGACAAACCATCACAGTCCTAATTTCCTCACTGCTGAGATGAGAATAGTTCCTACACCTGCCTCATAGAGTTATTAAGGAAAACAAATAAAACAGTTAATATAAGACATTTATCATACTTTGAGGCTCATTTCTTAGGATGATAATGATATTAAGTAATATAAGTAATATTAATGGTAGCTATTATTGTGATTTTTTTTTTTTTGTATTTAGGACAGGTTGTACAGGGTGAACAGGGTCTTACTGCATAGATCGGACTTATAGTGATCCTCCTATTTACAGCCTCCCAAATGCTGGGATTACAGGCCTGCATCACCACGCCCAGTCTTATTGTGATATTTATGATGCAAAAGGGACCTAGTACTCTCTCAGTATTCCAGTGACAAATAATGAAAGCAACAGAAATGGAGAAAGGGTATAGGAGGTAGAAGGAAATTTTACTGAGTGAAAAAAATACCATAACTATAATTTTGGTTGTTCACTCTGAACATAGTGCTGTAGTAAGGCAGACTTTACACCTAAATCCCACAAACTAATCAGTAAAAAGAAATTGAGGAGCACAAAATGATTCTTAAATTATAGATTGAAAAATTTGAGAAAATTTTTCTTTTACCTCTGTGTTGAGACAGGTTCTCACTATGTAGTTCATTCTGGTCTTCAACTCACAATACAGTCCAGGCTGGGTTTAAACTCGGGCTGGGCTCCTCTCAAGTGTTGGGGTTATAGGTGTACACCCAACATTCCTTATGTATAGCATAATTTTTAAATGACGGATGTCTAAGAATCATCTAGATGCTAAGTACCTGGATGCCCCCCCACTCCAGTCTGTTGGCCTAGCAGACTTACCTTGTCCTGAGATATTTGAATAAAAAGGTCCCTGTCCTCAGTCAACCCTCTGGCCCATGGGGCTCTTGGACATGGCCAACTAAACATAGCACTTACATAGCCATAGTGTTAATGCCTGGCACTCATTCTAATTATTAGATATTTCGAATGTAATTTCCATTCATTATGAGCAGAAAACATACTTTGTCACCTTATCTGATTACTGAGAATTTTACCATGATGTGTTTTAGAGGGGTCTGGAAAATTTTCAATCTCAGGTTGCCTGAGGCACAATGCCAACTAGATTCTAAAAAGTTGAGAATAATTTTCAGTATTCCAGCAAGTACAGCTTTATAGAGTTTCATTTCCTTGTCACTATTCAATGGGTCAGATTTGACAGTTGAACAACCTCATATCTGACTTGGCAAAAAGAACATTCTACTTGATTGTATGTTTGTGTTTTATTACTACAGCCAAGTCAGCCCCAGAATGAGGGTTGGGACCATCTCCAACAGCTTTCTTCCCCTTTAACCTAAACCTTGATTCTCATCTTTCAACAAGTCAGACACATTTTGAGGTCTTCTTTTCTGGCCTGAATAAGCAAATATGGGGCTGGGTGCTGTGTTCCAGTTCATGGGATATTGTTTGGGGCACCTGAGATTTATGTGGTCCTGTTCCTTTATAAAATGTCCAACTTTATGTGGTTTGTGTGTGAAGCCAGAGGGAAAACAGACACCTTTGGACCACTGAGCCCATTCAAAATCTGTTCCATCAAGGTAGACATTGGAGCTTACATCCTTGGCATGAAAGAAGGAAGCAGTGGGTTCTTTTTTGTTTTTATTAGTACCCATTTGCAGCCCATAATGATTACATTCATCCTGGGGAGCTCATACATGTGTGTAACACATCTTACCTCCATTTCCAATCCCTTCCCCTGACTTCATCCCCCCACTTCTGTCTCTTGGTCCCCTTCCCTGTTGCATAAGATCATTCTCCCTGTTTCCTGTGAGGTAGTTTTTATTTTGCTCTTTATTTATACTCTGTATTTCTCATGTAAAGTTTCTTTTTTTTTTAATATTTCTTTTTTTTTTAAATTTTATTTATTTATTTGAGAGAGAGAGAGAGAGAGAGAGA